AAAAAAAAAAAAAAAAGGTAAAAAACGGCTACATAACAACTAGATTTAAAAAAAACGACTAGATTTTAGCTAATCCGGTCCCTAACTGGTCCTATAACCGGTCCCGGTCCCACAAAATAGATAAAATCCTTAACCGGATGTAACCGGCGGTCCTCAAAGGTCCCGGTCCTCCGACAGTCCCGTGCAGGGTCGGGACTGTTTGGCCATCACTAGGCTTAAGTTCCAAAAAACCTTTATTTTGGGCTTGAAATATTGGTCCAGATTCGATATTGGGCCTTTGAAGCTTTGACCTTTGGGTATCTGGGCTCTTTACAGCCTAATCTAAGGAGTAACGAGTCATCCAATTCCAAAATCCAAATCATACGTTTTTAAAGTACTATTTTTCAGTAAATAAATACGAACAAGGATACAAAAATTAGTAATAGCATCTAGAAGTAGACATGCATAAAACCGGAGGCTTTGAACCAAGACCTTTCATACCCGTTTTCAGTAAGCAAAGAAAAGAGCACAGCCTTTTTCAGGATGTCTGTTTTAGACCGGGCATTTTTTGATTTTTTTTTCCAAACTTCTAAAAGAACATGCGTCAATCGCGGTTGGCTTGTGAACCGCTTCCGGTCTTGCCAAGCTCGAGATTGTTAGATCGGGTTTTAGGCTTTTTTATGCATCTATATCTTCAAGTAATTATGACTTTTTCATGCAACTTATATCTCACAAGTTATTTCCATATGTTAACATATTACGATAAATTTTTTAAAAAATAACTTTTAAATATAATCATGATTTTTTTAAAAACATAAATAAAACTAAATATTCGAAAAAGTCACGTCAACCAATGAAATAATCGACTTATCCATTAAAAAAAAGTCTAAGCAAATATTTATTATTATTATAATCATTAATTTTCAGAAAAGAAGGAAAAATATTGTGTTATTTTCTTTTGTGGGCCCAACCTTTCTTTTTGATTTTGTCCAACTACACAAAAACCGTATAAATAAATAATCAAACATCATTAATAACATGTGAAGGGAACAAACCAAAAATAATGCTCCTTTTTTTCTATCAATAAATATCTATTGAACCAAAATTTCTTTCTACTAACAGTATCGTAGTCTTTGGTCTCTTATAAAATCAAAAATTTAAACATCACAAAATATGAAGAAGGTATGTGAGTTTATTTGTTGCATTTGCTATTTATAAATATTATATATTTAAAAAAATCTATTTAATAACTCAATCGAATAAAATTTATTTATAAAAAAAACTATTAATAATAGTTAGATGAAAGGAAGGAGTTCCTCGAAGGGACCAAGGTATGAGTGATCGTCGTAAATGGTTACCATCAATTATTTTAATAGGAACGTTTTTGGGTGAACAATTCAATTACAAACATATGACAACGACACTTCAATAGAAAAACACGGTTTATAATTTCTTGATATTTTAATCGATGGTATGTAATGAAACACGATGTCTTGATAGAACCCATTTCATATATTGCTTTTGCGTGTTTTTGAAAAACAAAATCGGGATTTTTACATCCCATGTACAATTCTTAGAAATATATCGGAAACCAAAAAAAAAAAAAAAATGAAATTAAATAAAGAAAGAACAAACTTCTCCCTCCAAAGGGTTCTGATCACTTTTCGTAGTTCGCTCGTGCCTAAGGAAAAAAAGACAGATTTCTAATTTGCACAGTTACATATCATCTATTTGTTCATTGACATGTCTACACCGATTCATGAACAATATTTGTTCATGATTACTGATTTATGCTAAAACGATCTCAACCACTTAAACAAGTCTAGATAGATCGTCATACGTTGAGCTGGCATCATCTATCCTCTTTTAAATCTGTGTTGCATCGGAGAATTTGATCCAACCTCGTGATTCCGACGTAAAATGGGGTCTGAATGGACTATGTGCGGAGACGACAAGGGCGATTTTGTCCTGTGTCTTTGACCATGTTCGTGATGGCGGTTATTAGAGTCTCTTTTACTTTCTGTTTGCTCTTCTTTTGGAGCCGTGTACACAAAGGGTCCAACAGGGACGTCCATGTAGTCCTTTAGTGGCTCGAGGGTTTTAACAACCTCACTCATCTTTGGCCTTGATTTAGGCCTACGGCTAAGACATTGATAAGCTAATTCTGCTGCCTTTTGTGCCCCGAATTCTGAATACTGCCCTTCCAGTCTTGGATCCATTATTCGGTTGAGTTTTCGCGGACATTTGAGTTGAGACCTGGCCCAGTCGGCTAGGTTCTGCTCACGGTTAGGACGACTCTTATCCATTGACTTCCTTCCCGTTAGAAGCTCCAACAATACAACTCCAAAGCTATAAACATCACTTGCTGCTGTTAAGTGACCTGAAAGATAAAAGTGTCCAATTCCAAATTAAAGTTAGTAAAAACGCTACAAAACTTGGAAAACAAGAATCATGTTATACATGCAATTAAGTTGTACTACATGCATAAATACATGTACATTACCTGTCATGAGGTACTCGGGAGCGGCATAGCCATGTGTTCCCATAACTCGGGTGGAAACATGTGTGTCATCTCCCTCGGGGCCATCCTTGGCAAGTCCAAAGTCCGATAACTTAGCTGTGTAGTCCTATATAGATAAAAACCGTTTAGTTTCAGTTTCGTATGATATTTAGAAACAAAACAATATTGAAATAGAATTGCTATAAGTTTATGACTCGAAAACACTTACAGAGTCTAGTAAAATATTTGAAGCCTTGAAATCACGGTATATAACAGGCTTTTCGGCTTCATGAAGAAAGGCAAGACCTTTCGCTGCACCTAGAGCAATTTGCATTCTTATCGACCATGGAAGTGACACCGAAAACCCTGAAAATAAATACCCGATTTTAAATAATCGTTAGATAATCGTATTGAAATAAAAAACATAAACAGATATAAATTTTAAAAAAAAGGAAGTATCGGGTCAATTTTGAAAACAAAGGGTTACCACATTATTTCGTGAAGGTTGCTTGGGAAAAAAACAAAGTTTTGACTTTGGAGATAGAAGTCGTGGAACTGGTAAACAGTTGTAAAACTTTCAAAAAAGTCAATAAAAGTTTGGAGGAAATTAATGAACAAGTCCTTGCCCTACTACCGGTACTTGTCAACCATCCACGGAAAAACTTGCATTTTGGTATTATATAATATATTATATGCACCACCTTTTCTATATATATATATATATATATATGTATGTATGTATATATCATCCAGATGCTGTATATAATATCATCACCCAGATAGCTATTAATTTTTTAATTCAATAAGAGTATATATATATATATATATATATATATGACAGAATATAATGATGATATCTGCTCATCATGATTCATGATTAACAAGTGGATTGTAAGCATGTTTTCATAATGATGCCCTTGTTTCAAGGATAATGACGACTGATATTAGTTCTCAGAGAATGAATTTACGTTGAAAAACAAGGATTTACAGTTAAACGAAGTTAAAAATCTTAAACCATATATAATTTGTGATAATTAAGATGAACGTACTTCGAAAGAGTTGATTCTCTAAGCTTCCTCGTGGCATATACTCGTAGACAAGCAGTCTGTGTTGATCTTCGCAGCAGTATCCGATCAACTTCACCAAATGTGGGTGTCTCAGTTCTCCAAGAAATAGCACCTCAGTCTGTTAAAAACATCAAAATATTATAAATGAGTTGATGGGTTTGTATCCTTTTCTAAAAAAGATGATATTTTTAGTATAAAAAAAGATGATATTTTTGGTTAAAAAGATGATATTTTTTGGTAAATATGATCTTTCTTATATCTATAAACACACACACACACACACACATATATATATATATAGAGAGAGAGAGAGAGAGAGAGATACCAGCCATTCTCTGTGACCTTGTAAGCCTTCTAAATCAAGGAGTTTAACAGCCACAGGCTGAGGTCTCAAACCATGCCTAAGTTTATCATCGATGAAACCCTTGTGAACTGGTCCGAAGCCACCTTCACCCAAGAAATTTGAGGAGGAAAAGGATTGGGTGATGAGCTTAAGTTCAGCCAGGGTGAAAACATGGAGGTTAGAACCAGCAGGCGAGTTCGATATATCATCCGAAATAGTGGAGCTCTCATAATCTATAAACGACTGCATCCTGGGCGAGTTATGAGATGCAACTGCAGATTTCTTTTTGGGCTTATTCGTCAATGGACGAACGGGTTCATGTTGAATCTTGAAACAATTTGACAAGAAAGATGTTGCTGTTTTCTTGATGGTCATGGCCTGTTGTTGTTGCTGTGCAAACTTAGGGGGGAGAGAAAAGTAGAGGATGAAAATGAAGAAGAAATGGGGAGGATAGGTGGTTTTATATCAAGTGCCCAAGAGAGAGAAAGAGGAAATTTTCAAATAAGGAACCACTTGCAATTGGTCGTTTGATGAGTTTAGAAATTTATAATTTCATCTGGTGCATACCAAACCACCATTGAGATAGAGTGTTGCATCACCTTTTGGGACTTAATTAAGTAATAATATTCAAAAATAAATAAATAAATCAAATGAATACAATATATATATATATATATATATATAGGGGTTGGTTCAAATACTAATTAACCAAAATTTTTGTATTAACTTTGTTAACCAAGCTCAACCAATCATATTCAATTTTTTCTTTAGGTTCACATATAACTCATATATTAATGACAAGAGTAATTAAGTTATTTGTCATTTATGTAACTCCCAAATCATTAATTGGGAGTTATAAATATAAAAATCTCAATAATTGATAATTACATGAGGTGTGACTTGGTATTAAGATCAAGCCTCAAGTCTTACACGTTGTAGCGATGATGCAACGCTTTTCAAGACGGTACATTAAGTGACAAGTTTTTTATGTCATATATATAGAGAGAGGACAAATTAAATATAAACCAATCAATTAAATCTCTAAAATGTAAAATCTAAAGTTAAAAATATAAAAATACAAAAGTATTGAAAAAAATCTCACCTTGTAAAAAATGCATGTCATGACCTAAGTCAAGTCTTACACAAATGTTGTATGTCTAATCGAACGGCGGATACACATCTTACGTTATGAGACACCTTTTAAAACTTTGAGTAGAGACGGACGTAGAAATTTTTTCAAGTAGTGATACCATTTGACTACAAGAAACAAATATAGAGATATTTTCACAAAATTATTGTTGGTTTATTGGTTAGTTCATTGATTTTCATATGTGAGGTCCTGTGTTCAAGTCTTTTGTTGCAAAAGAATTTCAGAAACATAGCAAATTTGAAATTAAAAGCTAAAAATTTTAAAAAGAAATAGCACTAACGGGAGTCGAACTCGGGTCTACGTCGAAGAAAAGTCTAACAAACCAATTCTAACAAAGGCAACTTATGTTCTTATTGTAGTTTTAAAATATACATAGTAGCACTTTTGTAACATCTCAATCCAACAATACAAAATATTGTCCGCTTTGTCCACATACCCAGATTCATGGTCTTAAAACGTGTATGATAGAGGAGGTATCATGTTCCTTATAAATCAACTTTGGTTCTCTTCCCCAACCAATATGGGATCTTACAGTCCACAGCCCTTGGAGCCCAACGTCGTCACTAGCACACCAGTCCGATTCTCGGCTCTGATATCATCTGTAACATCTCAGGCCAACCGTATCAGATGTTGTCTGTTTTGTCCACATATTTTGACTCACAGTTTTAAAATGCATCTGATAGAGAAGGTTTCAAATCCCTTATTAGATGACAACTTTTATTCTCCTCCTCAACCAAGGTGAGATCTTACAATTTTTATGACCCTATAAATTTTTACACCAAGACAAAAGAAGAGAACAGTAAGGAGCCGTTTACCTAAAAGCTTACCCGGTAAGCGCTTACCATTAAGAGTCAACACTATAATTTATTTTATTGGGTAAGATTGTAGTACATCAAAACGTATCTTATGCAACAATTTACTTGGTAAGCGCTTATCCGGGTAAGGGTCGTCACCCTCACTTACCATGTAAGACTCTCCATTCTTATCATCGCTCTTACCGGGTAAGATTCTTGCCCCTTGCTATATTTATCCGGTAAGCAAAATTGCCCCATGAATACGTATCGGGTAAGCGTTTAGTAAACGGCTCCTAAAACCATCCGGGTCTATCCTGTTTAATTATATCCCACATTATCAAAGAGGAGAATAAGATATATGCAAATAGTCTTTGCGGTTGTTCCCTAACCACTAAGAAAAACCACACCTGGTCTAATAAACCGCTATTGGTAGTAATTAATTAATTATTTGAATTAATTAATTATTTGAATTAATCATAATGGGATTAATTGAGTAATTAATAAGTAAATCAATAGAATGTGATCGTAGGAGTAGAGAAGTTGGGAAACCCGGCCACATTTTGACTTTTTCTGTGGGCAAAGGCCGACCCGAAACTCGGTAATTTGACCGACTTGGTCTTTTTCTTTTCTATATTTAAATAAATATTTATTATTTTTCTTTTGTTTTTTCTAACTTTATTCACTTTTCATAAAATATTTTAATTTTAATTTTATTTAACCACATTTTCTGGTCATTAATTACTTGGAAATTTAATAATTATAATTTGTTCTAGATTCACCTTATTAAAAACAAATAATAAATAATTAATTCACCAAAAATCATAAATAATAATTAATGAAGGCACTCATTGGAAATTTAATTGAAAAGACGACATTAATTAATAAATTAAGGTAGTTTGGTGTGGTGTTGTTATTATGTGATACGATGTTAGTGGTTATTACCCCAAATCTCCAATTTCATATTTTAATACCCAAACCAGTACATTGTATTGTATTATGGATTTGGAGTTATTCATGTTTTCTATTTTTCAAAATAATATTTTTAATATTTATATGAGATTTAAGTCCATGTTTTTAGAAACCTCCCTTTATATCAAATAATACCATTCTGATTCTATTTATTTATTTATTAAAGTTTTAATAATTCGAAATATCGTTAGTGTATCCCATCTTCTATCATCCAAGTTGACCAAAACTAAGATATTTATATAAAATTAATCACAAAACAATTAAATTTTAGATTTATGAATTTGTGTGGTATCATGTAACATTTTTAGAGTCCCACAAAAATTCGATTGATCGAGTGCTTAATACAACTCGAAGGGTATCTTTATAAAGTGGTTGTATTTGTTATTTCTTTAATAAATGTTTCCTTTCAAAAGTATAACAAGAAAACCCAGTCGAGATCTAATAGGGTTGGGTCCAAAATGAATTATATATATATATATATATATATATATTCTTATATATAAAAAATGGAAGGGTTATCCTTATTAATAGTAATGGCACACTAGTACTAATACAAGTGTTATGTGTTGATGATAGATAGGAAATTAGAATCCATGACGTTATGCATGTGTGTACCCGTGATATACAAGGTTGAAATAGAAATTTACAAGTTGGACGTTAATTGGCATGAGACAAATTCCCAAGTTCACATGCATTATTGTTTCTCTTTTCCTTTATCATTTAAATAGTCAACCATTTAAAAACACACACACATATATATATATATATATATATATATATATATATATACCCTACCTAAAATAATATTAATATTGATGATATATGAAATAAATATAACATATATAATGAGATATGAAACAATTATTATAATTTTTTATTCATATTTTTTGGTTTCAATATCTAATTATTAAATAGGTCATCATATAATTGTTAATATTTTAAAAAAGCTTTATTAGGTTTGTCATAAGTTAACTGATACGCTAGTTTGATGAAACGCTATCTCAAGTAGCGTTTCCAAAAACGTCCATTTTGTTTCAATTATGTTCTTACCAATGGCAGATTCAAGATTTTTGCCTAGTGGGGACACATTTAAGATAGATTAATGGCCCACAAAGTTGTCCGATGTGTTTTTAGTCTAATTCCGTCGTTTCAAGAGATTTTTAAAGTTTTTTTTGTTGATTTCAAGGTTTTTAAGTTTTTTTTTTTATTAATTTCGAACAACTATTTCTATTTTTGTTGTTAATTTTGAGATACTTTTTTAGTTTTTTTTCCATTAATTTTAATGTTATTTTTTTGTTGGTGGGCAGGCCGGAAATTACTGGGGGTAAAAAGTTAAAGAAAAAACTATTTTTAACCTAAGTAATTAAAAATTATTTTTTTAAATATATTTATATGCTACATCCTCCCCCTCACTCTTACAATACTTTTCCCTTATGATGTGTTTTGAATTCAAAACCTTTTCTTAACGAGAAAAATAGAAGGGAAATAGAATAAGATGTATTTTTGAAACTTCTTTGAAGAAAGGAGGAAATGTTTTATTCAGAAATATGAAAACTTATTTCCTTCTTATTATTATTTTTTTTTCTTCCATTTCAAGAACACAAATAAAAACATTTTTCTTTCATTCCGTTCTTTTGCCTTCATTTTTTTTTCCTGAAATGCAAGAACACGATCTTAATATATTTCATTATTTTTTGTTAACTTATGATTATTTGTATTTATTAGAATTATTATTATAATACTCACAATCATTAATATTGTAATCTCAACATTACTACTATTACATTAAAACATAATAATTATAATATTTACTTAACTAATAATTAAAAAAAAAACTCTATTATTGTTAAATTTTATATTTTATATCACAAAACTTGCATACATACATACATATATATATATATACATATATATATATATATGTATGTATATATATATGCGTGTGTGTTTACTTAAAATAATTTAACCAACATATTATATTTAATTTTCTTTTATAATTTGCTATATTTTTTCATTAAAAATACATAAAGTACTAAGAAATGGTAACATAACGTCCACTCTAGCAAAATTTATAGTAATATCGTGAATAGGATATGAAACACAAAAATGTCTATTGATATCAGGAGATATATTAGTGGTTCGTTTTATTTTTATTAGTGTAACGTGTAAATTAACTAATTTTTAGCAAATTTTTTGGGTCATACGATATTTATCAAGTAATTTTTTTCGAAAAAAATACTTATCACTAATTTACCAGTTAATTTTTGTAAACTATGTTTAATTTATTGCCTAATCTATCAACTAATTTGTTGACACACCAAACTATATGCATTAAACTTAAATTATAATTACAATAAAATAAAAGTATGATATATAATGCTACTCTAGAAGCATTTAGAAAAGCTTCCAAGTAGCGTTTCAATAAGTTAGCTTATGCACATCCAAACATGTATTCAGAAAAT